GCACCCTATACTGCAGTATAGCAATAAAGACAAATATCTCAATTCGATGTGTTGATTGGCTTACTGCACACTGGGTGAAACAACCCAGATTTTGGGACAACACCCAGGTAGCACCGCGTTAGCTGAGCAAGGAACTATTAAAATGAAGACACAGCCAGTACCTGGGCTATAGCCGTAGATCTGGTCATGGCAGTACTCCACCCAGTTGTGCAAGGCAACCACGGCTGGATGGCATGCCACAGTATTATCTAAATAAATGCTCTTCCTGGAGGGACTGGATAGGTGCCAGGTGCTTTCCTGGCCCAGCACAGAGCTGCTCCGAGGGTGCTGCAGCACTGCAGACCTGCCAGCATCCACATCCCCACCAGCGGCTCAGGGGAGAGGGGCTGTTCATCGGTGATCTGGCCTGAAAGCAAAGCTAGACATACTCCAGTGTCCTCTCAAGTCATGTCCTGGTTGGAAGGGGACACAGCTGGTCTGGGAGCTTAGAAGCACTTGGGGGCTGTTCATGCAGATGTGGCTACTGAGTTAAAGGCCAGGTCCTCTCTTCCATACTGTGCTTCAGATTATGCATACATATATTCCGATTTCATCAGCTTGTGAAATCTGATCATTACAGCAGTTGCTGTAACTTAAAGTTCAACTAGTGAGAAATAAGGCCAAACTAAACTTTGGGAGCCAAGGTTTCTCTGTATGTTTCCAGACAGCCACACTGATGACAAGTGACAGAGTGTGAGCTATCCCACACACAAGCACTTTCCTTGATTGAGGTTTTGTGGTCCGGGAAAAGAAAAGGAAACCCTGCAAACTTTCCCAGCCTTCGAGCCTAGGAAGGATTATTTAAGATATCTGGCAGAAATGAGTGGTACTCCAGTGCCTGGAGATCCCTCCTTACCCAGGACACCTGGCTCTGTTGTCCCTGCAGTCTTTCTGGAAGACTCCCACACATCTGCTGGCAGCAGGCACAGGGGAATGGAGTCACGGAGGTGCAGATCCTTCCCCCTGTCCCAGGTAACAGGGATTCATTCTGAAGCATTAGCATTTTCTTCTATCTCTAACCTGCCTCTCTACCTGACCTGAGGTTCAGGGTGAAAGGGGGAAGGCAGGGAAAGGTTTTCTGCCTGTTGTGAGAGGTGCTGCAGGTTCACCAGGAGCAGAAGCATTGAAACACAGGAGCAGCATTGGATGGGTCAGACCAGAGCACTTGGAGCCCGGGGTGTCCCAGCCACGTGTGCCAAGGAGCAGCCCTGCAGCCTGGTGCTTTGCCCACCACTGTTTTAAGACAGTTTTACTCCAAGGAGGTCCCACCTCTAGAACTTTCCTTCATACAGGCCACCTGGAGCTTTTCTGCCTTGAAGATCTGAAGCAGTGCCCATGGCCAGACCCTTGCTGGGCTGCCCCAACACCTCACCCAGGACTCCTGAGTGAGTGTTGCTTTTGCCTCCAGGCTTTGCACTCTGGACCCAGCAGAGCCAGAGGAGAAGCTGATCTTTGCTCTGGCTTGTGCATCAAATCTGATGCCTCTCCACATGGGAGGACAGTATCCTGGCCTAAGATATACTGAAAATCTCTGTCGCAGGTGAGTTATTAAATCAGTATTAGCCACTTAATGATGTTTTCCTATTAAATTAGCCTATTTTTTTTATGGAAAACAAACAGCAATTGTAGCGAGAATAGCACATGGGACATAAAGAGGCCCAAGGCCACCATGCAGTTCTGGGTGCTTGGCTGGGAATGCAGAGTCTGGGAGAGAGCAGCTCAGAGGACCTGTTCTGGGGTCCTCTCCTGTGCAGGAGCCTCATGGGGGTCTGAGCACCTTCCCTGCAGCAAGCACCCAGCCAGCAGTGCTGCGCAGTGCCCTGCAGATCAGAGCAGCTCTCACTCCACTTCCACAATCTCAGGAGAGAATGAGGCTTTCCTGTACGCTCAGTGCCATGTTTTGGAAGGTGTCTTCTCCCAAAGGATGAGTCTTGCAGGGACTGAGCCAAGTGATTTTTGTTCTTTCATCTCCTCTGGCTCACTGCCTCTAGAGCAGGGCTGCATTTCCAGGCTATGCTCAGAGGCTCCAAAATAAGCTAGATATATCCACAAACCTGGAGGCTACAGGTTGTTTAACTGCCTTATTCACTGATAATCTTCCTGGCACTGGTACACTACTGTCACTGTGCCACTAGAAGTGATTTTACCTGCACGTTTCAGCCAGACCCCGAGGACTGGGTGCCAGGAACCAGGTTTCAGGCAGACAACCAATGGAGTCATAACAGACAGGCTGGTGGAGGCTCTCTAGGATGTGTATATTGAATTACATAGGTCCCATTATACAAAAAAAACCCAAACCAAACAACTTCAAGGAAGAGGATGGCTCTTGAAAACAGAAAAAATCCCACACTTTCACCACTGAATCTGAGGATTTCAATGCAGAAACATCCCTTCTGATGAGGAAGGCACCAGCACAAGTCCAAAACCATCTTCAAGGCAAAGGGACCCTGGACTAGCAGAGCACCCCTCTGGATGTGGCTGTGAGGCCCCATTCCAATGTCCCCAGGACATGGGGACATGCAGGCAGCAATGCCTGGGAGAGCCCAGGCAGCGAGATGCTCCAGTGTCCCAGCAAGGAGCCCAGACAGGAGAGCCCTGCACACTTCACCGAGCCTGTGCCATGATGTCCCCAGTGCCCTACTCAATGCCCATGCAAAAGCCCAGGCTGTGACACCCTTGGTGCCCTTATGTGGGTGCTGGCTGGTGTACTCTGAAAGGGGTGCTGGGGGCAGAGTTGTCGCAGTGCCACAGCAGAGCCCCCAGGCAGGGATGGCCTGGCAGGGATGCCCTGTACACTGGCAAGGAGCCCCGGTGGGTACACTGCAAGTGCCCCACCGCAGGTGCTGGCTGGGATGCCCCAGTGCCCCAGTAGGATGCTCAGTGAGGACGGACCGGTGCCCTGGTGAGGATACCCGTGTGAGGATGAACCAGTGCCTCAGTGGGGGGGGGGTGCTGGGCAGGGACGCCCTGGTGCCCCGGCGGGGATGTCGGTGCAGGGACGCCCTGGTGCCCCGGCGGGGATGCCGGCTGGGATGAGCCAGTGCCCCAGCACGGGCGCTGGCCTGCACGCCTCAGTGCCCCGCAGAGGCACCCGGGCGGGGACGCCCCGGAGCCGCGGCAGCGTGCCCGGGGGGGGGATGCCCGATTCCCCCGCGGTATCCGGGGCGGGGGTGCCCGTTTCCGCAGCGGGGATGCCCGGGCGGCGGTCCCCGATTCCCCAGCGGGGAAGCCCCGCGCAACCGGCCGGGATCCC